GTAACTATATTTAGCCCATGTCAGCATTTCCATAATAAATTCATATTGTTATGCTGTGGTAATTTCCAGATTTACTGCAGCCAGTGGTTTCATGAGGTTTCAGTTTTATGTTAATTACTTGGAGAAATTGGGAAACTCAGCAGTGCTATTTGTAGGGACGGCATTGAGTCTCTGGGCATTGGCCACCTTGAGTCAGCTACCTGTAATCACCCTGCCTTCCAGGGGGTAAGAAATTAGCCTGGTTCCTTTGGACTACCCAGGAAAGCATGACTTTTCTTAAAAACTATAATGCGGTATATTTGTATTTTCCTTACAATTATAAAATCAACATATAGCACTGTAGAAAATTTAGAAAACACAAAAATCAAGCTGACAAAAAAAAGATCATGAATGTTCTCCAACTTGTAAACATTTAATATATTTCCATATAATATTTATTATGCCTATATAACATGTGTTTATCAAGTTGAGTAGAAGGAGGTGTTCTGTGTAGTGGTTAAGATTTCACTTGAAATTTCTGCATCCTGTATCAGAGTTCCTGGGTTTGGGCCTCAGCTTCGCTCTTAATTCAGCCTTCCTGCTAATACATAACCTGGGATTAGTTGGGTCTCTGCTACCTGCATGAGAGATCTGGATTGAGTGCCTTGTGCTGACTTTGGCCTGACCCAGCTTAGCTGTTGCAGGCATTTGGGGAGTGGAACAATAGATAGGAATACTGAGTGTGTGTGTGTGTGTGCCTTTCAAATAAATGAACATCTGGGTAAAATAAAAGATTATGTAGCACAAACCCAATTCTTGAGATTGAACAGAAAAAAATTTTTTTTATTCCTACTACCTCCACTCCTTTGAACAGTGGAGCTCACTCTGCCTTCCCTGGTTAAACATCCTGGTAGCTCCTTTACTTAGCACAGTGACTAGTGACTTAGGTAATACAAGTTTTATGGCCTCTTTAAATTGTGAGACATGGCCAAAATGTAGAAATTCAAATATCATCAAGGCCTGTATCAGGTAAAATATAAACATCTCCCAGTGTCTCTCCAGCCAGCATGTGCACAGATGAGAAGAGGCAGCCATGATCAGATTCTTCCGTCTTCCTTCTCTTCCTCTCCAACATCCTCGCTCCTTCTTGTCCCTCTGGGGTCATAGGAAGGAGTAGAGGATGGGTGTGTAGGAGAGCTCTTAGCTGATCAGCTTTCTGCTCTCTTGGCCTACTAAGTGTTGACAATTAGCCCTTGGTCTCATAGGCTCCATCACAACCTCTCACAAGCAATAACCTTGACCGTGCTAAATGTCTCTACTCTAGTTGGTTTCTTACTCTTCTCTCGACTCCCTAGAAACCCAGTAGCTCACCCCCAGGTTCACTAGGTCCCCATATCAGACAGGATCTAAGACAACCCTTGACAGTCCTGTCGTGTGGGCCACCAAGCGCCCACAGGAAACAGCCATGCCTTTGGGAGTCCCACAGCCTGGCAGTGCCAGCTGACCTCACCGCCACCTCTCCCTTCACTTCTACACCACAGATGTTTGCTCTTCTTCCACACAGTCCATTGTGTACCAGAACCTCAGCGACACACGGCCAGTTCTCAGCTTATCTCAGCAAAGTTCTGCTCTCTTGACTCGAATGGGGGAAGCTCCCCTAAAACCTCCCCTGGAAGGAGGCCTGATGTGCAAAAAAACAAAAATCCATCTCTTTTTCTGACCTTCCATGTGCCTGAAAGGTTTAGAAGTTGATTAATGGGTCTTCAACCACCCTTTTTACAAATGTTCCAGGGTGGTCTGTTTCCAGTTCACTTTGGTATCTTATATCTGTCATCTTAAGATTGCAGCTGAAATTCCATTTTAACATTCTGTCACAGGCCTCATCCGTACGTCCATCCATTCTGTAGACATTCCCTGAGTGCATGCAACCTGCCAGATGCTGGGTTTGGCACTGAAAATAATTGCAACAGTCCCTGCCTTACAGGGTCCGCAGGCAAGTGGAGCAGACTGATGTGCTAGCACCAAGGGACGGTGCCATGTTACACATGCTGTGATGGAGAGAAGCCCACATTGCTGGAGTGGGGTGTGCAGGGCCTCAGGCTAGGGGGAGGCAGCAGCAGGGCTGACTCAGGCAAGAGCCTTCTCAGTGGAGTCAGTCCATGGCTGGCCTAAGTTTAACTCTCACATGGGTACTTTTTAAGAGGCAAAATACCCTCCATTTAAACCTTCAAATTCTCTGTTGCTGGCATTTATTTCTCAGTAATTTATTTTTTGAAACAAGCAAAGGTAATGGGAAGAAAGGAAAAAGAGAATCCCTGGTGTCGGCCAGTTGTCCACACATCTGTTACAGAGGGAAGAAAATAACATTTCTGGAGGCCCTTCCTTAATACAAGTTTCCTGGATCCCACCCAGGAAGGCAATCCTGGAAGGCTGGCTGTCTCACATGTGGCCTGAGCCCAACCAAGAGGAACACTCCCTGCCGGCATTTGAGAGTTGGCTGACAGGAGGCAAGGTCCCCCCTGGAAGCATCAGGCAAGGAACAAGCAAGGACAAAATGAGGATGGGTAGCAAAGTTGAGCATGGCAATTGCTGAAACCCTCTCTGCAAGATGTGGGGCTTGCTTTAAGAGAAGCAGAAGTTGGTCTGTAGGGGCAGGTGTCTGGCACAGTGATTAAGATGCAACTTGGGACTCCTGCAGCCCTGGTCAGAATGCCTGGACTTGAGTCCAAAATCTGCTCTTGATTCTAGCTTCCTGCCGATGTGCTTGCTGGGAGGCAGCATGATGGCTCAAGTATATGGGTCCTTAACACCCACACTGGGAGATCCAGGCTGAGTTGTTGCACGCATTTGAGCAATGAGCCACAAGAGAGATCTCTTTCTTTCTCTCTCTCTCTCTCTCTACCTTTCAAATAAATTTTTTAAACTTTTAACAAAAAGGTAGTTTGTGAAGGGAAATGTTTCAACATGTGCTAGGGTAAGCAGAGCTCTTCAAATATGGAGCAGCCACAACTCACTAAGCAGTATTTTCCTCTCTGCCCCTTCACTAAAGGGCTCCAGACAACCCCATTTTAATTTTTGTCTTTTCCCTCTGGCTTTCCAGCCAATGAGATTTCAAATGTCCTTCCTGCTTGCTACTCTTAGTATCTCTCACCTCCCAATCAGCTCTTTCTTCTCTGTGGAAGACTGGGAAACCAGGTAACTCATTCAGAATGTTCATGTTATGCTAGGGAAGAACCAGTAGAGCAAGCTAACAGGAGTGGACATTTGTGTATGTTAGCAGATAAAAAGCTATTGAGTTTCCTAACCCTTGGGTAACTACTGAAAAGAAGTTTATCCACCTCTAGCATAGGACTTACACATCACACTCTGTTTTGAACTTGGTAAATGTCCTTTCCATTCTTTTTTTTTTTTTTTTACTTATTTATTTATTTGAAAGTCAGAGTTACACAGCAAGAGGAGGAGAGACAGAGAGAGAGGTCTTCCATCTGCTGGTTCACTCTCCAATTGGCCACAACTGCTCTAGCTGGGCCAATCCAAAGGCAGGAGCCAAGAGCTTCTTCCAGGTCTCCCATGCAGCTGCAGGGGCCCAAGGACTTGGGCCATCTTCTACTACTTTCCCAGGCCATAGCAGAGAGCTGGATCAGAAGTGGAGGAGCTGGGTCTCGAACTGGCACCCATATGGGATGCTGGCACTGCAGGCGGCAGCTTAACCTGCTATGCCACAGTGTCAACTCCATCCTTTCCATTCTGTGATGAGAAGCCCGTGAATGTTGAGTGCTATGCTTGGCACATAAAAGAGGCTTAAATGTTTTGGTAATATTCTGGATGCTGAGACTCAATAGTAAACAAAGGCCCTGCCCTTGGGCAGCTTGCATTCTGGATGCGGGAGGGAGTGGAGAAGGCAGGAAATTAACTTATAAACCAGCCCAGGGCATGTAAGAGGTCATTAGTGATATGCAAATCTATCAGTCAAGCACAGTAAGGTAGCAAAGGTGGTCAGGGGGATACTGGTATTTGTTTTGAAGAAACCCAGGGGTTCTCACAATCTGTATGTTAGTCATCTTTCTACATTTTTCCCTCCCTCCCTGATATGTTTCTCTAGAGCAACAAGAGTGTCTTATGTAAATCTTAGCTCTAGCACAGCATGTGAGACGTGGTGAGTGGGTCATAAATGTGTGGAGTGAGAAGCTGTCCCCATGTGACCCCAGAGAGGACCACATCTCTAATAGTCTAAGTTCAATGTGTGTTTCTAAGGCAGGGCCATTCTCTGCAGCTTTGTTGTGCTCTTGCTGCCGTCCCCCCTCGTCAGGTCTTTGGGCTCCCAAAGTTTGGGTTTACTGCCTTTCCCTTAACTTTCCCCTGGTCTCCACAGCCTCAGAGGACTGCTAACCCTTATGTGTATATAACAATGGAACCAGCGCAGTCTATGGCTGATCCTGTTGCCCCACACGTGTTCCACATCCACCCAGATGCTACAGTGTGTCATTTGTGTGTGTGCCCCATGGTAACGACTGGAACATCCTGAAGTCACATTCCAGAACTCAGGTCAATTGGACTCAGCCCTGAGTCTCACATCTCTACTCAGCTCTAGAGACTGCTGGGGAAAGTGTTGATGGCAAATTGAAGGGGTCTTAAATATTTTATCCTACAGCACAGATGTAAAGTCAGCTACATCTAGTTATGATCTTTAGTTAAGTAGACTGTGTACTCTGGCTGTGAAGAGGAAAACTAGCTCCCCACATTGGTCTCTGGAGGCCATCACAGAAGTGTTTGGCCTTTACGGTTATTTGTTCACTACGTGGCAATTTATTAGCCCAGGATGTGTGGTCATAGGTGTGACCTTAAACAGTCATCAGATTTTATTCTTAATGTTAAAGAAAAGAAGTTGAAAACAATATGGATCCACTGACTATCTTTAAGGGAAGTGAATTGCAATTAGAATGTTTTTGGCCATGACAAGCCTCACTGTGGTCTTTAAGCTTTCCAACTCAGCTCACTGTGTTATGTTTTCCATTTAATAGGAAGCGATGGCAAGAATGAGCAAAGTTGGGAAAGTCGTGTTCCCGAGACGTGAGGATAAAAAGTAAGTTCTATTTTCACATAACAGGGCTAAGGAATGAGAACATACAAACACATGCAACTGCAGATCTGGAGTAGACTTTGCAAGTCAATCCAGTAGTTTCATTTAATACTGGAAAAAACTAAGTTCCAGAGAGGTAAAGTCACTTTTGCTTCCCTAGAGATTGTAGAACTAGTTAGACCAGACCTGGGGGTAAAATGCAAGCTGAACTTTTGGACCGGTGTTCTTTTTCCCAGGTCATGGCAGCAAATCTTTTCTTCTCTGTTCTAAAATGGGCATCTCTCCTATCACCTGCCAAAAGACTCTGCTCCTTCCTTTACACTCAGCATTATCTGGCATTCAGGACCGCAGAATGAACTTGATCAATGGTTTAATCCCAGGTTAACAAAATATTATTGAGCTCCTGCCATATTCAGGGAATTATGCTGAGCTCCAGGTAGGATGTACAGGAAAAATAAGACACAGTCTGCTTTAAGCATATCATTCATTTCAGAACAAGCAGATAAATTCTATAACGGAAGTCTTACCAGGTGACAAAGTAGCTCAGAAAAGAAAGAGTGACCCTGTAGGAGTGAGGTAAAGATGTTGAGTGGAGGAAAAGTCCAATGGAATTTGGTGGAGTTGGAAGCATACCAGGGGATTCCAATTCAATCCCATCGAGGTGGCATGTACCAATGCCATCTCACTGTTCCAGGTGATAAGTTTCAGTTCACAGTTGGTCATGGTGGAGGGACTGGGAGTCAAAGGGAGCACATAGACAAGTCTAGTACCTGCTAACGCTAACTGATGGAGTAAATAAAGGGGAGAGTGATCCAACATGGGAAGTGAGATACTCAGCAGACTCATAGAATGGCAGATGTCCTAAATAGCACTCTGGCCTCAGAATCAACCCTAAAGGCATTCGGATCTGGCTGAAAAGCTCATGAGAGTATTTCAGGCATGGAAAGCCAAGACACTCTGGCAAAAGATCTCTGTGAGTGAGATCCCAGTGGAAAGAACAGGTCTTCAAAGAAGGAGGTACCTTTCTCTGAAGGGAGGAGAGAACCTCCACTTTGACTATGACCTTGTCTAAACAAGATAAGAGTCGGAGAACTCAGAGGGCTTCCATAGCCTTGGAAACTCATGACTGGAGCATAGGGAGATTACTGATGCCATAGACAGGAGTGTCAATTGGTAAAGTCAACAACAGGAGTCACTGTGCACTTACTCCTCATGTAGGATCTCTATCCTTAATGTGCTGTACATTGAGATTTAATGCTATAACGAGTACTCAAACAATATATTTCACTTTGTGTTTCTATGGGGGTGCAAACTGTTGAAATCCTTACTCAATGCATACTAAACTGATCCTCTGTAAAAAAAAAAAAAATAAAAGAAAGAAAGAAATTATCAATTCCCCAACTTGACTCTCACTGGGATTAAACATGACAATAGGTCTGCTCTGATTTCATCATCATTTAAAAAAAATCATCTATTATTTTTCACTTTATGTTTCTGTGTGGGAGCAAACTGTTGAAATCCATACTTAATGTATACTAAGCTGATCTTCTGTATATTAAGATAATCGAAAATGAATCTTGATGTGAATGGAAGGGGAGAGGGAGTGGGAAAGGGGAGGGTTGTGGGTGGGAGGGACGGTATGGGGGGGAAGCCATTGTAATCCATAAGTCGTACTTTGGAAATTTATATGCATTAAATAAAAGTTAAAAAGAAATATGTCAAAAAAAAAAAAGAAAAAAAATTATTTATTTGAGCAGCAAAGAGACAAAGGGAGAGGGGGAGAGAGACACAGAGAAAGCTCCTATCTACTGATTCACTCCCTAAATCTCACAACAGTTCCACCTGAGAGCTAAAATTAGGAGCTAGTAGCTCAATCCAGGTCTCCCAAGTAAGTGGCAGGAACCACAAGTGCTTCCCAAGGTCTGCATTAGCAGGAAGCTGGAGTTAGGAGCCAGAGCTGGCTATTAAACCCAAATACTCTAATATGGCACTTGAGTGTTTAATTGCGTCTTCACCACCAGGCCAAACACCAGCCCCTGAGTTGACTATAAATGCTTAAAGTAAATTGCTAGACAGGCCCAGGTAGATAAGAACATTCTTGGGAGAGGAGATAACAAATGCGAAGTTATAAATGTGGAAACAGCATGGTATGTTGAGGTAACCACTCTTAGACTACTCTTAGTTCTGAAGCACAGTGTGCAGTGGGGAATGGCAAGAAGTAAGACGGGCATAGTGTGGAATTGGGAAGGAAGAGGTGAGCTCACAATGAGCTTGGAAACCATGCTCATGAGGTTCAAGCCTCAGCAGACAGGCTGGACAGGGGTGAGACTTGCTTATCAGGAAGGCCAAATGCAGGCACTAGAAAGATACTTCATAGAGGATCAATTAGAGGGCGCTGAGGGTAGACACACGTTGACCAAATGGAAGGCTTTTTCAATAATACAGGTTAGAAGTGGGAAAGAGTGGAAAAGGCCTCCACAAAGTCACCAGTAGTGAGTTTGAAGATGATGGGGCCAGAGTAGAAATGACTTTAAATTTTTAGGGACGTTCCAGGGTACTCCAGAAAGCTCGCAGAAGAATGAAATTAGGAGATAAGTTTATTTCGGTGCAATTTTTTTTTCAAAATCCATGCATAGTTTTTTCACAATATGTATTTTCCATGAACTTTTTGATGTACTCTCATATCTGAGGTTAAGACATAAAAAGAAATTTTACCTCGCTTACAGACAGGCAAAGGTGCTGGTCAGTATTTAACAGATTTGGAAATTCCATAGAAAATGTCATCCAATTTCTTTGCATTTTCTTCTTCTTGTTGCTGTTGTTAATTTTTTTTTTGACAGGCAGAGTGGACAGTGAGAGAGAAAGAGAGACAGAGAGAAAGGTCTTCCTTTTGCCATTGGTTCACCCTCCAATGGCCGCTGCTGCTGGCGCACTGCGGCCGGCACATCTCGCTGATCCGAAGCCAGGAGCCAGGTGCTTCCCCCGGTCTCCCATGGGGTGCAGGGACCCAAGCACTTGGGCCATCCTCCACTGCACTCCCGGGCCACAGCAGAGAGCTGGCCTGGAAGAGGAGCAACCAGGACAGAATCTGGCACCCCGACCAGGACTAGAACCCGGTGTGCCAGCGCCACAAGGCGGAAGATTAGCCTATTGAACCACGGCGCCAGCCTTGTTAATTTTTAAAATTGATAAAAAGGGAACAAATTTTACATATTTCCTATATAGTTTTAAGAGCAGTATACTTCCCACCCTTTCTCCTCCCTCCTTTCTTACTTTTAATTTTTACAATGCATTTTCTTCTTAGTTTCCAAGTGGAATCAGGATGTGGACCCTCTGAATGGAGCCCTCTCTAAATGCAGAGGTCAGAGGGCAGGCCCTTGCCCGAGGGGGCTCAGCACAGGCAAATGGAGAGACCAGAGCTTCCACTGGCACTGGAAGCCCCAGGCTGCCACCCTTCTCTGTACCCTGAGGGGTCCTGGGGTCCTGATGTATCCCTCTTTTTTTTTTTTTTTTTTTTTTTTTTGTAACAAGAAACAGATGATCCTTCTCCATGTCTTCCTGACCCTCCCAAGACTTTTGAGGGAGTCTGTTTTTAGGTTCTTTCTGTAAACCCTACTTGTTCTTTTAGGAAAGAATTCTTGGCTTCTGGCTGGCAGCTGGCAGCTGGCAGCTGTGCATGGTGAAGGAGCAGGCAGACGCAATGCAATACCACCATCTGCAGGTGACCCAGGGGTTTGCAAGTAGAAAGAGGGAGCCAGTTTCCTTCTGAGCTGCTCTCACATCTCACTGCTTCAAATCACATTAACAGTACAGGATGTTTACTTGGGTCTGTGCCATACAAAAGTAGCTGACTAAGTTGGAGAGAATTTGTAAGAGAGTATTTGGCTGATTTAAAAAGTCAGGATTACAGAGAGCCTAATCTAGTGACTTTAGTTCAATAACCAAATTTTTAGGATGATCCCAAACCTTACCCTTATATCAGACAGTGTTTATTTTTGGCTCAAGAAAAGTCAGTTTAAAGTAACTTGAAACATTTTATGCGTGACAATACAAAGGCAGTCCACAGAATGGAAAAAAGTATTTACAAACCATTTGTTTGATAAGGGATTATTATCCAGAATATATAAAGAATGCCTCAATCTCAACAACAAAACAAACAGCCAAATTCAAAAATGAGCAAAGAACATGAATTGAGAATTCTCCAGAGACAATACATAAGTGGTCAATAAGCACTTAAGAAGATAATCAATTTCACTAACCACTAGGGAAATGAAAATCAGTAATTCAAGATACAATCTCATATAAATAAGGATGACTGCTATTAAAGAAAAGAAAGAAAATCACATGTGTTGGCAAGACTGTGAGAGATTGGAACTCTTTGCCCTGTTGGTGAGAATGTAAAATGGTATAGCTGCTTCAGAGAACAGAGTGGCAGTTCCTCAAAAAAAAAAACAAAAACAAAAAAAAAAAAAAAAAAAAACACACATGACCTTGGGTACATCCTCAAAGGAATTGAAAGCAGCTTCTTGGAGAGAAATTTTTATTCCCATGTTCTCAGCCGCATAATTCACAGTAGCTGAAACCATGAGAATAATCCAAGTATTTATTAATGGATGCATGTATAAGCATAATAATAATACATACATACATACAATAGAATATTGTCCAGCCTTAAAAAGGAAGGAAATTCTGTCAACATGAAGTTTAAATATATTATTCTAAATGAAAATAAACTACAAAAAGAGAAATGCTAGTGTGATTCCAGTTATGGAACAAATAAAACCAGTGAGCAAAGTTGCTATAAAGCCATGGACATTAAAGTTGGAAATCTTCAAGTATATGAGAAGAGGTCCTGACCCTAGCTCCTGTCTGGCAGTTTCAAGATTCCAAAATCAGGCAATCTGTCATATAGTGAAAGGATGGCTTAAAATTATATTGTCATGGAGTTATCATTAGGAGGAGAAAATTGACCCTAACATCATGCTATGATTAATAAATTTAGAAGTTTATAGAGTTGAGGTCTAATAGTACCTACATATGAAGGGAATCTAAAAGGTTTGTGGAAAATGGAATTAAAAGAGATTTATTTTGAAGCCAGGGAATTTTGAAATCAACACACAGCATTTTCATAATATGTATTTCTATGACACTTTTGAAGACTCTTCATATGCGCGGATTTCACATTTTTTGGCACTAGATTAAATGTATCTTTTAATCCAATTTTCCGTGAACTCTTTGAATACCTTTGTTTTAAATTATTAATTATGTGAAAGGTACTTAAAGTAAACACAGTTCTAAGTACCTTTCACATATTCCCTTGTTTAATTCATACAACAGCTCTGGTAAGGAAGATCCGGCAGTCATGTCCATTTGCAGATGAAGAAATTTAGGCACAAATAGATTAAATCCATGTCAAACGTCACACAGCTAGTCTTGGTTCACACTGGGATTCAAACTTAGGCTTCAAAGTCCACCTCTTAGCCCTGTGTCTGACCCCAGAACAGCTCTTAAGTAACCAGAGTGTTCAATGTGGAATGTTGAGAGGCAGGCTCCTATTAACATAGCTCTGTGTGAGAAGCTTTGTGTGCACACGTGAAGGCTACTCTTAGAACCTCCCTCCCCAGTTCACAAACTTGCACGGAAGTTCCTTCAAGTGAGGATTCCTTTTCAGAGCACCCTGGAATCTGCCAAGTCATGCTGAGCTGCCTTCCTCAACCCTCATCCCATGCCAGCTCCCCCAGCCAAGCGGAGTCAGGACAAAGCGGCAGCGTCCTTTGTCCAGGCTGCTGTTACCCCCTTCCGGATTGTGATGCCCAAGCAGCTTTGGAGACTCTGCTCTCTGATTCATGACCAATGCCAGGTCTAACAGGTCTCACTGATTCATGACCAATGCCAGGTCTAACAGGTCTCACCTGAAGAGTCAGCGGCAAAGCACTGGTGGAGGTGAGATCCTCAATGAAACACCCAGAAGGCAGGGCACAGCTACCAGAAAGCATTACTCCATTCCTGTGGGGTTTTACTGAAGATAAAGCAGTCTGCAAAGGAAGCCAGGTGCAGAATCTCCTGAAAGGTGGTTCAAATGTTCAGTCTCTTCTGTGGTCAGGCTGTCATTTTACACCCATCATCAAACCTGGGGCCATAATTTAGAAAATACTTATTGAAGATGGAATATGAAATGGTCTTTCATATTGGAAGCCTTTCAGGATGGGAGGCTTCAAAGTCAGACAGTTACTACAAGTTTAAATTACAGGTCTGCGAGGCTATAGCTGTACCACACTGAGTAGGTCTTCTTTCTGAACAAATGTGCCAGTCTCAAAAATGGAGATGACAACACTTCATATAGGTTATAGATAATAGGTAGAAGTAGAAAACAGACTAACCCGCCATCTAGGAAGGCTTAGTATTCAAAGTCTGGGAGGTTTCAGCATAACCATGACAAGTACCTCCCCATTCTTCACAGGGAAGGGGAAGCTATGTGCCACTTGCCTTGAGATCATTCAGCTCTCTGTCATGATTTTCCCTGCAGGTATTATGACAAGAAATATAAAGTATTCCTGAAGCTGGTTGAACACCAGAAGGAGTATGCGGCAGTCATGCATGGGGACTGAACAGGGCTTGCAGCTGTGTCCCTTCATGGAGGACCTCCATCAGTTCATCTTGTTTTCAAGACCCTCTCAATATCAGATCATTATTTCTGTATTGTCTGCAAATAAAGAAAACTGAGACACGTGCAACCAGAACTGCAGTCTTCCATCTCAAAACAGCACGATTTACTTGGTGGTTTCCGCATAGAGCCCTTCCTGGTGCCAGAAGTTTCACACGGGGTCAGGGAGTCGTATATGGTCCAAGACCTTGGAGAGATTGTGCTTGTTAATTGATTCGTTGTTAGCTGTTAAATGAAAATGAAAGCCTTTCATTGCTTAGGGCAGGATTTCTAATGTTTATTCTGTGTCCTTTGTGACATTTTCCCTTCCAATACAGGATCCTATCTAGGGTCAGATATTGCATTTAATTGCACAATCATCATTTTGCAATCATCATATTAAACCTAGGTACAGGCAGGAACCATCAATGCATCCAGGAGGGAATTTTGATGAGTAACAGGATGCATGCATGGTCTTAAAATGTCTCTTCACAGATTGTTTATTAGTTACAAGAGGAAAAAGAATGTTAACTATACAGGGAAGAAATAGGACAAGCTCTTGATTGGGTGATCAAAATTAACTTCAGATGGGCAAATGGACATCATGTGCCTCCAGATGTGATGGCCTGACAAGGGGAGAGCATCGCCCTGGCTGGGAACACAGAGTCTGAATCCAATCATGAGGAAACATCAGACAGACCCCAAATGAAGAGCATGCTATTGTTTTAATGGAATATATTCTTCAAAAATGCCTGTGTCATTAAAGACAAAGAAAGGCTGTGGAAAGTTTCCAGATTAATAGAAACTAAAGAAATATTATGGCTAGATGCCTTTGATCTGGGTACGTTGATACCATACCATACAGACACAAACACCCACGCATTATCTTGGCCCCAAAAGTCACCACTAACGTGGATTTTAGGGCTGTCACAGCCACAAAGAGTTTGGGTGGAGGATACACCAAGACTTCAACAACATAATACAGAAAGTAGAAAGGAAAATAAACAGTACAATTCAGTCAACAAACATCTTTTGCAAGACTTAGGCTGTGCCAGGCATCTTGCTAAGCGCTGGAGTACAGGAATGAATAAAACATGGTCTCCTCCCTCAGGGAGCTCCCATGGGGAGCGATGCAGACACAGAAATCAGTCATAGTACATTGTGATAGGTGCTGCAAGAGAACACACCTGCTGCATGGCGCACATCAACCATAAAGGGAGGAAGAAGGAAGCGGCTGACAGGTGGGATGAAAAACCATGCGGTCTAACAGCTGTGAGCCTTGGCTTGGGATCCCAGGCCTTGCTTTACCTCTTTCTCACCAGCTGTGTGATTTGGAGAGGTCCTTAACCTTGCACAGTCTGTTTCCTCTGTTTTAAATGATGATATTAACAGTATCTAGTTTATGGGATTGTATGAGGGTTAAATGAGACAATACATGTAAAGCACCTAGCTCAGCTGCCTGGACCGTACCTGTCCTGTTACAAGCCTGTCTCCTGGAAGATGCTCAGAATCCTGAGTAGGAGTACCGCACCCAGTTGTGAATGTCAGCTCTGCAACAGCATTCTACAGGATTCAAAGGATACAGAAGTCTGAGGCATGACCCAGGGTGAAGGTGGGTGTGGGTTTGGGTGTCTGATCCAGGAGGCCCAGCAGCAGCAGAAACCCCAGTTCATTCATAGCTGGGTCACAGCCAGAGCTTGAGCTGAATGAGGATTGGGAAGCACCCTAGAGGTATGGCAGGATCAAGACCATGGCCAGACAGGCTTCAGCTGCCGAAACTGAGCAGCGCTGACTCAGAAGGAGCATAGGCCTGGGCCTGCTCATAGAAAGCACTGGGGAGTGCAGTAGCTGTGTGACTTAGGAAAGGCAGAGATAGAAACATGAAAAATGACCAACTATTCGCCAAGTCCTCCCTGTGTGTTCTCTCCTGTCTTCACAACAACACTGTGAGGTTGGCAGCATCAACTTCGCATTCCAGATGAGAAGGCCGAAACTCAGAAAAGAACAATCAGCTCTCCCGGAGTCACTGAGCTGCTAGTGGAGACAGCGTTCAAACCCAGATGTGTCTGAGTGCAAAGCTTGAAGTGTCTTCCTGCTGGCACAGCTGGAGAGGAATCCCGCCCTTTAGTGACAGGCTCCTGTTGAAAATTCTCTCTGGCAACTTTGTATGCACTCCAGACCTGACCTTGAGTTCTCACTGCTTTATACAAAAATGGAAAATACCCATGCATGAGGCAGGCATGGCAACACTGGGATATCTTTGGCATCCCCTCACCTGTGACAGAGAAGAGCTGAAAGGCCTTGGACAAGATCCTTAACCTCTAAGTCTCAGCCTCCCTCTGTCAGGTGGAAAATACTGCTGCCTGCCTCCTCGGGTTGTTGGTAAGGACTTAGTGAAAGCTGTGTAGAAGGCCCATAGAACAATGCCTTTCAAATTATAATAGGCACACAGTACATCTTGCTTCTACATGGTTCTCTTTGTGCCTCCTGGCAAGGTGGTTAATCCCTAAGAAAATCTTTCTGATTCCTACTATAAAAGCCATGTTTTAAGAACAATGTAAATGTCTGTATAGATTTCTATACTCATGTATAGCTCAACAATAAAAGCTGTAATGACTCCAATCCTTACCTTCTTGCACTAGGAAAGAAGGCTTTATTTAATGCACACATGTAAAGTATATTTAGCTTTTATGAATAAGAATTACAGTGTGCAGTGTGGTTTGTGGGATTTTTGTTTTGTTGCCTACTGAAAGCTTTCTTTTCAAGTTGAAGCCAGCCTTGCTTAGTAAATCAGTTTGCCAAGGAACACACTACGGGTTTTTTAATTTTAACCAAAAATACTTCCCATATGTGAAGAGCATAAATGTGGCTTTCACAAGAAACAAAGAGAACAAAAGCAGGGGGCGGGAGGTGGGAAGGAGAGGACAAGGATGCAGAATGGTGTGACATGTCACAGACCCACAGTAATGACAAGACCCAGTGCTAGAGTTAGATGGAATCCAAACAGAGTACTTATTAGGGACGGACTCCTGGGGAGACTCTGGGCAGTTGATCTTTATATTCAGAACACAGTCCAGGTTGTTGCCTGTTGAACTGAAGAGTTTAAGTCTGAAGGAGAGCAGTAAAAATATTGGGAAATATCTCTGGAAACTCCAGACTTTGGGGTGGTACCAGATCAGCAGGTGAGGGTAATGGACTGGAACATTCAGGTTATAACGGTAACTTGATCTGCCATTTCCTCCTGATCTGAACAGAATCACATTAGTCTGGTTTACTTATCTGTTCTCTGGCCACTGGCCTGTGAGCTCTTGGAAGGCACAACTTTCCTTAGGGCCTATGTTTTCTGAATGTAAACAGTTCCTTGCACATAATGGGTGCTCGAGCAATGAATAAATATACAACAGAAGACATTATTCTACAAGAAGAAGACTGAAGGAAGTAAAAATAGCTCAAGGATCTCTCACTTTCTGGTCAAATAATCCATGGTTTGTGTTAATGTGCCTTAAAGTAAGCACCGTCAAAAACTTAATGTGATTTGATGACTAAGGGTAAAAGAAAATCATGCCTTCTGCCTAATGTTGCATTTAGTTTTTATTGCACACACTCATGCATAACCACACAGCTTGATGTTGGACTGTAGCTCAAGCTCAGACATTTTTGCAAACTTTCAGTGTTGTTACAGGCCATTTCCTGCATGATATCTTATGGGAAACCAATTGCACAGTAATCCAGAAATGCCCATTGTTCACCGGGACTGAGTGCACATATTTTCAGGAATCAGAGCATAGTTACAAATAATTACCATCAGGGAATTTAAAATGAAGGGCATTGTCGCTAAACAAGAAGCTAATGACTTAGCAGAGCTGTGTAATGTAATTATACTTAAGATAGGACTTCTGATGAATTACAGAAGAACCTTTGTACTGTCTCATGTCTCCATAAATACACTTAAATGCTGTGGACAGTAATAGGAGGGAGTCTTGAATCTAAAGTGCTTTCCTTTTCTTTTATGATTTCTAGAAAGACTTAAAAATACATAGTGCTTTAAATAAAAGATGTTTCTTCCAGTATTTCTGATTATTTGACAGTTCTTTAAAATTTATAATACCAAGGTAATAAATAATAAAAACAAAGATATCTGCTAACAAATTCACATTTCTCAACTTAGCATTAACTCACCCATTTATTCTGTGGTCAGTTTCTGTTTTACACAGAAAATCATGTAAAATTACACATTAGCAAAAATGTTTCTAAAGATCTGATTTTTTATTTGCTTAAGCCATGCTTTAAGCAAATTCACATTAAAATCTAGAGTAAGCCTGCCTCCATGCTGTATAATTTTGATCCATGTTTGAAATACCACATTTTATTTATTAATGTCAATTACTTATGCAAAATAATGATGCCTTTACATTTTAATGTTTCTCTACAATTTCCATATTGATTAAACATACATCATCTCATCTATTCCTCATAATACATGTGTGAGGTAGTCCTGGCAAAGTGAGATCCAGTTCTACAAATACAAGAAGTATGTCTCCAAAACTTTAAGTAATGGGCCCAAAATTGTGTAGCTGGAGCATAGATGTAGGACCACTCCATTGCTTTTTCTTAAACAAATGCAATTAACTTATTTCTGTAACAGTGGATGATTCGTTAGCTTCCTAATCACTCTCTCTTCCCTGCTTCCTCCTGTTAACATGATGTATAAATATCTAGGAAGCTCTTCTGATACTCATTGGTTGATCAAAGTACTATATTATTTCTACTGGCAAGCAGAATTAAAGCGTGAAAAGGCTTGGGCTGTGGTGTTACTAAGTCCTGCCTTCAAATCACAGCTTCACTACTTATTAATCTACACAGTATGAATTCTTACAAGCCAGTTAACCTGTTAGTCTCTGTTACCTCTCTATAAAGTGAGAGAGAAAAAGATCTGCCTTGCGACTGATGTGACTGTTCAGTTGGAGGAAATGCAAAGTGCCTGGCACAGTGCCTGACATAAAGGGGAAGTGCAACAAACATGGGTTTTCCTCTTCAATCAATCCATTTTGTCTTATAGAATTCCTAGAAGCATTACTTTCAGTCAAGTTG